CCCTAGGTTCTTCAGAACCTAGGGGCAGGACAGGAATAAAGATGCAGATGTAGAGAATGGACTTGAGGACACAGGGAGGGGGAAGGGTAAGCTGGGACGAAGTGAGAGAGTGGCATGGACTTATATATACTAACCAATGTAAAATAGATAGCTAGTGGGAAGCAGCCGCCTAGCACAGGGAGATCAGCTCAGTGCTTGGTGACAGCCTAGAGGGGTGGGATAGGGAGGGAGGGAAGGAGATACAAGAGGGAGGATATATGGGGATATATGTATACATATAGCTGATTCACTCTGTCATACAGCAGAAACTAACACACCATTGTAAAGCAGTTTTACTCCAATAAAGATGTTAAAAATAAAATAAAATAGATACCCAACAAGGACCTACTGTATAGCACAGGGATCTATGCTCAATATTATGTAACCACCTAAATGGGAAAAGAATTTGAAAAAGAATAGATACATGTATATGTATAACTGAATCACTTTGCTGTACACCCGAAACTAATGCAACATTGTTAAACAACTATACTCCAACATAAATTAAAAAGTTTAAAAAATACTACTTTTATTTCTCAAATATATGTGAATTAGTTATTAAATATTAGAGTAATAAAATTAAAGTTAGTGTATTTATGTACTCAGATAAATGCATAGTATTTTATTTTTCTTCTCCAAATTAACTTTAGATTCAAATTTATCAAATATCTGTGAATTAATTATTAAATATTAGAGTTATAAAATTAAAGTTAGTGTATTTTATGTACACTCAGATAAATGCATAATATTTTATTTTTTTTCTCCAAATTAACTTTAGATTCAAATGTACCAGCTGTCCAGGCTCCTTCATGACTATCACAGAGATCTCTACAATCATCTTGAAGAAAATGAAATCAGCCCCAGTCTTTATGCTGCCCCCTGGTTCCTCACATTGTTTGCCTCTCAATTTCCATTAGGATTTGTAGCCAGAGTTTTTGGTAAGAGATGCTGATGATCCAGTGAAACAGTGTTATTTATTCCAAGGGATATACTTCTAGCCATAAGGTGCTCCAATTGTTTTATCAAGCATTACACAGAATCGCAAATTGCTAGTGGAATTTAGTAAATAAGTCTGGCTCTGTTCTGAGAGTAATTTGAAACCATATTGGTCTTAAATAAAATTGAAATTCAAAGCGAAAGAAGAATTGAGCTTCTATATTTGAGTAAGCTGTAATGGAGTTCTTATTTCCTTTTATACCTAAAAAATCACAGTATAATGAATTAAGGATTTACTCTGTATGATTTTTTAGATTTTTAAACACATCTTTACTACCTCTTTTTATTTTCCTTCCCCACTGTCCTCTTCAACCTGGATTCAAAACACAGAGAAACATGTTCTCTAACTGGGTTAACAGAAGTACCTGTTCCAATGTTGTTTCTAATGGCATTTTGGGTTTTTTTTTTTTTTTTTTTTTTTTGCGGTATGCGGGCCTCTCACTGTTGTGGCCTCTCCCGTTGTGGAGCACAGGCTCCGGATGTGCAGGCTCAGCCCAGCTGCTCCGCGGCATGTGGGATCTTCCTGGACCGGGGCACAAACCCGTGTCCCCTGCATTGGCAGGCAGACTCTCAACCACCGCGCCGCCAGGGAAGCCCTACAGTGTCTTTCTTATTGGGGGCTGTGGTTTTAAAGGTTAAACACTGCATTAGCACTAATAAAATTTATAGGCAAAGTGCAGCAAAAGAGTATAACCGAGATGCAGGGAATCAAATGTTTACCAAATTTCTCTTCTTGAGTATACACGATTGCTTTTCTCCAGGGAAGTTTTCTTTGGAGCTTGGGTTCCTATTTATGGGTCTTCTATAAATCTTTTCATTTATATATTTGCTTCTCAGAAAATAGCTTATCAAATCAAAATATTTAAGGTATCTCTAATTACTTAGGGTATCTCTCTTTGATTTACCCTTGGAAGCTTGATAACAGAATTCAGGAAACAAATCTCCCCAGTCGTCTGTTTTTTGCTAAGAGAATATGAATGATGCTGTCAACTCTACGATAGGTGCTCCATTCTTTTCTTAGAATTTAGTGAAGAATAGAGACCGTCAGCAAAGGGAAAGATGCATGAGCAAGAAGAATGACCATGTTTGAAGTAATTGTTCCACGGCTCCCTCATTTTTAACGACCCCCTCTTTATTATTGATTGTGGAATGGCATGGATTGAGAGGAACACTCATACAAAAGCATTTAGTACTTTTCAAAACTATTGCATGTTTGTATTTGTTAGGAAGCAAAGTTCAGGGTTAGGGTAGCTTTTCTCTTCTGATTTAGGTTATATACTGGTTTTGATTTTTCTTTTAAAGTTTTTTTTTTTTTTTTTAAATTGCTGCTCTAGTACAGTCTTTAGAATTAGACAGTCTCGGGTTTACATCAGTTTCTAGCTCTTTTATTAGTTGTTTGGCTTGCACACATATTAACTGGTCCATTTAGTTTTTTATTCTGGTCATGAGAGTTTAAATAGTCCTAATTGGTTATGTTGATTTGTTTCTGTATTCCCTTTGTGAAGAAAAATCTAAATATCAATGGATTCAGTGTTTTTGAGGTATACCTAGTGTCCATTAAATTTGGCAGTAAAAATTATAAATGCATGGACAAACAGATATATAATTTATCTTTTTCTTTTTACCCTGCCCTTATCTGAGGTTCCTAAATAAGTAAGAATATTTAAACAACTGTTTATTTGTTCCAGTCATATTATTATTTATTTCAAATCTAGGTGATTTTGACCAGTTTTATTTTGCAAAATATTCTGTGGTTCTGTTGCAGTAATTAAAACAACACACACACACACACACACACACACACACACACAAAAACCACACACCAAAAAACCCATTAACACACAGAGGTCACTTTTTACAATAGTAGATGCATAATTTTGATCATGAAAATTATATCTCTTTTTTTCAGATATTATTTTTCTTCAGGGAACTGAAGTTATATTTAAGGTTGCCCTCAGCCTGCTGAGCAACCAAGAGGCACTCATAATGGAATGTGAAAACTTTGAAAATATTGTTGAATTCCTTAAAAGCACGCTCCCTGATATGAATTCCTCTGAAATGGAAAAACTTATCACCCAGGTATGAGTTAAATGGTAATAATAAGATATAAGATGAGACAGCAGTTTCTCTACTATTTATTAAATGTTTTAACATAAAGATGTAGTTTTGCTTGACAGGGATTTTTTCTTTTTGATTTGATCAAATACATTTTATCTAGAAACGAGACTATTGTGTAATTTCTCCCTTGTGACATTGTTTGTGAGGCTGTGTCTGGGCAAGGTGGTTCAGTGCTACATCATGAGTTTTTCAGGAACCTTCCAACTTAGACCAATGGTGAGACTGAAGATAGAACTGACAGAGTTAGGAGTACCTAATAAATAAGTAAGCTGAGACTCATCTCTGTAATATTGTTAATTCTGTTTTAAAATATATAAGGAGTATATGTGACAAGAGCACAGACTTTAGAAATAGACAGTCTTGGGTTTACATCAGTTTCTAGATCTTTATTAGTTGTTTGGCTTGCACACATCACCCTAATCTTCTGAACCCTCGTATTCTCACCTCCAAAATGAGACAATTCTGATCTAAGAGGTTTTGTGTGGTTTAAATGAGACTTGCTGTATCAGTCAGGGTCCCTTGCAGGAAACAGAGTCTACCTCCAATGATTCAAAGGAAGGTACCATTTACAGGGGTGTAGGCAGGGTTAAGGGAACTGGGCACAGATGTCTAGGTACCCAGGAACTAGTAACAGAGGGAAACTGTTCATACTCATGATGCTTCTCCCATCAGGAGAAGGATGACAGAACAATGTTACCAGGCCTAGTGAGTACCAGAACTCTGGAGGTTGCTGTGCTCTTGGTGAGCCAGACAGGGAAGGAGCAGGGAAGAAGTACCCGACCTCTTTCCCCTACCCCTTTTGATCTCCTGATGACTTTTCCCATTGGCCATACCTAACCAGAAGCCTGCAACAAGGAAAACAGGTCACAGGGATCTGCCTCCCAGGGTTCAGAGAATGGATGAGGGCAGAGAATGGATCTAGGAAGCAAATGGAGGGTAATCAGCGCACCGTATATCTAGTCCCTGGCTCTTCATAGGGACCAGGTAAGTGGCAGTTATATATTGTTGTTCAGATGACAGGAATACACTTAAGACCAGATTTGTAGATACAGCAGTCATGCCTTATGAGTATTGATAACATTTAAATTTACCACTTTCCTAGAGGCCCTTAGGGTAGCAGATAAAAGACAGTTTGGAGCAAGAGAAAAGGAGTTTGAGATCTTGTGCTGGTGTCCAGCTATCTACTAGCTGTGTGACTTTGGGCAAGTTACAACCTCTCTGAGTTTCAACTTCCTCTCCTGCAAAATGGGAATAACATCATTTTTAGGAGCAAATGTAACCAATTCAGTTGAAGAATTTTGTACACTATTATTCACTCTGTAAGAAAAACTCGTATTATTACACATAAAATTTTCTTTCCACTACGTGGAATTGAAATCACAAGCAGATTATTCTGTAAATATCTATGAACAGTTTTTATTTGTTAAAATGCTCTGGGGCTTCCCTGGTGGCGCAGTGGTTGAGAGTCCGCCTGCCGATGCAGGGGACACGGGTTCGTGCCCCGGTCCAGAAAGATCCCACATGCCGCGGAGCAGCTGGGCCCGTGAGCCATGGCCGCTGAGCCTGAGCGTCCGGAGCCTGTGTTCTGCAACGGAAAAGGCCACAACAGTGAGAGGCCCGCATACAGAAAAAAAAAAAAAAAGCTCTGGAAACTGAAAAATATAAATTTTACTTACACATTCACTTGTTTACTAATTTTTCAGAAATATCTTTTTGGACTGGCAAGCAGCAATTGTGCTTTTAGAGAGAGATGATAACTGATTTGAAATCAGATCACCTCTCTTCTAAAATTAATGAGGGAATTGCCTAGCTTTAGAGATTATTACTACGATTAATGGATAGAATTTATAGGCTATAGATTTGGACTTGATATTAGAGATAATTTTCTAACAAATAGAGTTGAATATGCAATGAATTGTTAATATTAAAGGAGGCTTTGATGAATAAATAAATAAAGTTTATTTATGGTCACTGTAAAAAACACAAATAATGCAGAACAGCACCAAGAAGAAAATAAAAGTAACTACAGATCTCAACACCTTGAGATTTAAAGCCTTTTAAACATCCTTTTATAATCTCTCTTTAATTACATACACAAATAAATATGTATACAGTTTTACTTAAGTGAAATCTTACTATACATGCTGTTGTATAACCTGATTTTTAAAATATTTGCAGAGTATTGGATATTTTTCCATGCCAATAAATGTAGATCCATACCCTCATTTTTAATGGTTGTGTAGTAGTCCTTTGTGTTCATACCCACTGCATAGGGAAAAGATGATGCTTGTTTGAGGGGAATAACCAGGTTGTCTTGAAATATCATTTAAATTCTAAGATTTGAGTATCTCTAACAGTAGGAGGGTAAGTAAGCAAGTGAGAGTTTTCTCACTGTAGGTTTCTTTTCTCCCTACACTGTTAGTGTAGATACAGATGCTTAAATGGCAGCTGTGGCCTCACTTTCCCTCACCAGTTTAGACTGAGGAGGAGTTGCCTGTCCTCTGACTTCTAAGCAAACTGTTCCTAATGGGTGGCGATATGGGAGAGCAGAGGTAGCCCCAAATAAATAGCTCTGTACAGTGCCCAGGGTTTCTGAAGATTTTGAATTTAGAAGATTCTCTCTATGGTAGGATATGTTAGTGACTTCCAAGAGGCTCACATGGATTAGCAAGTAGATGAAAATATTTAGCATAAGACCTTTCTGCCCCATTGACAAACAATTAGAAAGGCTTTTGGTCTCATTATTATAGAAATACCCTTCGCAATTGTGCTTATAACCAGCAAAGATGATCTCTAACTCAGGGAAGAGTTACTCAGTAACTAATGTTGTTTATGTGGTGGGCTACATTTTGGGAGACCATTCCTAGATTATGTATATTTTAGTTGCAAAATTTCTTTGAGCATTAACTTTTTCTAGAGTCTTGGACTTATCATGAGAATGTTTCAATTGTATAGAAATCATCTGTTTGTCCCTAACTTGACAGTCACACTTGTTATTCTTCCTTTTGATATGTCATACTATTCTTCATTAATAAGTATTGGGAAATCTACCTGAAGTACCCTAGATACACAGACTGTATCTTGGTGCACATCCCGAAGGTCAGACTAACCCACGGTGTTTTCATGGCAGGTTTTTGAGATGGATATTTCTAAACAGTTACACGCCTATGAGGTGGAGTATCACGTGCTGCAGGATGAGCTCCAGGAATCTTCCTATCCCTGCGAGGAGAGCGAACCCATGGAGAAGTTGGAGAGGGCCAACAGCCAACTGAAAAGACAAAACATGGACCTCCTAGAAAAATTACAGGTAAAGAGATAACAATTTGATCAAAAACGCACTTGGATGCCTCCTTGCCTGCACAGAACCATACCAGAAAGGACAGAGCTGTGGTGTGGATTGAACCATTGCTGACTGTGGGCCTGTGTATCGGACTGTGTCCAAGTGCTCTGGGGGCTGCAAATGCACATATCAATTTGAGTACCAATTGAGAGAGGAAATCTGCTCTCACAAAATAGTTAAATGGCAGCTGAAAGAATCTCGTTCAATACTTACTGGGTGTTGTACATGTTTGGTTTCAGTTCAAGGGAGGAGGGATTGACTATAGGAAGCTGGGAAAGCTCTAGGGGACTTGGCCTGGAGCTGGACTCCGGAGGGTTGGTGGGAGAAAGGAATGAGGAGTAGTGGGTGTTTAAATAAGGAGGATGTGGCAGAGCAGTAGAGGAAGCTTAACATCAGTTTAAGATTTACGTTGGGGCTTCCCTGGTGGCGCAGTGGTTGCGAGTCCGCCTGCCGATGCTAGGGGATGCAGGTTCGTGCCCCGGTCCGGGAAGATCCCACATGCTGCGGAACGGCTGGGCCCGTGAGCCATGGCCGCTGAGCCTGCGTGTCCAGAGCCTGTGCTCTGCAATGGAAGAGGCCACAACAGTGAGAGGCCCACGTACCGCAAAAAAAAAAAAACAAAAAAAGATTTACGTTGGAAAGAAGTGGGATAAACAGGATGGAGACAGAATTGTAGATAACTTTCAGGGTCAAGCAGAAGAACACGGCTTTAATCATGTTGAGAAGGAAATCTGTCGAAGTTTTTGAACCATATTTTAGAAAGATCAATCTGGAAATCTTGATAAGGACAGATTAGAATGGGGAGAGAAGGTGGGGAGAGAAGGTAGGGCGACCAGCTAGCAAGTATTTGCAGAAATCTGACTGGGGATGATGACAGCTGTCTAGAGTAAAACTCACAGAAATGGAAAGAAAAGGAGACATTTTTGAGAGAATTGAATTAAAAAATTGGTGACGCATAATCTGTGCCATCAAGGAGTTTATAGTTATTTTGGAATATAAAATATTAGCTATTTGTCAATGAACCCTTACCAATGTGATAAGCGATTTAGTATAAATTAATATTATGCACCTGCAACCTGTATGAAGTGCGCTGTGTATCCAAGCCCTGAGGGGTGGGGCTTCAGTGTGACCAGAGGATGGGGAGGTAAGAAGGTGAGGCTGGGGGCTGGGGGTTGGGGAAGGTGGAGCTTAAGTGCTGAGTTAGAGCTTAAGTGTTCCACGGCTCATTGGTTTCTGCTTACCCGCCACTTCCCCAGCACGGCGCATGTCCCCACACTAGAGGACACTAAAACTCTGCTTCGATGTGCAGTGAATCCTCTGACAAAGATAGCTAGGAGAGAAACAGCTGAGAAATGAGGGTCTCTAGAGTAGTTGCTCCCAGAGAAGGAACTCAGGCTTCCTTCGCTTCATCTACGTTAGCTCTGGCCCATAGAAAATTTTATGCCTTTTCCTGTTCCAAAAAAGAGCCAACAATCTCTATTTTCAGAAAGAAAAACAGTTGGGGTATTGACCCTTATTGCTAGGATGTTTCAGTGGTGATTAATTGAGCATTTCCTTCTTAGGGAAAGTGGGTTTGCACCTGCTTTATATTATAATGATTTTTATTAATGGTTACAGACTTTTTCATTCACAGTTCAATGTTCTCATCACCTCTGGGTTCCCAAGTTACGTGGGCACACCCGACACCCGTTAAAACTGATAGGGTCCCAAGTATGTGTTGAGGAAACCCTGCATTTCCACTCAGAGGGCAAAAAGCCTCTTTTAGTACTTCAGGGCAGTCAGCAATCTCCTGTTTCTCCCTGTCAGATTCCAGTCACTCCAGGAGAAGACCTGTGTGTGGAGTGAGGAACCTCACCACTGTGGGATGTTGATTTAATTTTGCATTTTTGGTGTATTCAGTGAAATGAGATGTATTTTGTTAGTACCCTAGTTATATTTTTTGAGAAACCTAAAGAAATCTCCATTTCATGGGAGGTTTCAGAGTATTTGCTTCTTATACTGTTTTATTAAGGAATATGACATGATTAGTTAACATATGTAAGGTCTGGCTGCTGCTATGATGAAGAACCAAAACCTTCAAATTTTTGATTTGGAGGATTTTTTTTTCTTGCCCCAAACAGATAGCTCATGCTAAAATCCAGACCTTGGAATCCAACCTGGAAAATCTTTTAACCAGAGAGACCAAAATGAAGTCTTTGATCCGGACCCTGGAACAAGAGAAAATGGCTTATCAAAAGGCAGTGAATCATATTCGGAAGCTGCTGCCAGCAGACGCTCTGGCCAATTGCGAACCGCTGCTGAGAGACTTCAACTGCAACCCTAACAGCAAAGCCAAGACAGGAAACAAGCCGTAACTGAAGACGTGCCACCCCAGCCAGAAGTGCTCTGAGGATGTTACCGACAGAAGGAGTGTGCATGCTGCTGGCCCAGAGCTGACAGAACCACTGAACTGGTTCCGAGCCCAAGTCAGAGCCGGTAACCCTCGCTCTCCTTAGAGCATGCCAGTTCTAAGCCATTGTACATATGTAGACTGTTTTTTGCTGTCCTTGTTGACTATGTACATATATATATAATGGACATAAAGAGTTCATGCTTTCACATAAAGGAGTAGATGTATATTTAGAGCAGTTTTTTAAAAAAAATCAACACTTCATGAAATCCAAACCAAAGGGAAGTTAAAATGAAATTCCCCTTGGACCCATGTGAAATCATTTGTTTTTGTAGTGAAACAAAGCTAGAACATCTTTGTATATTGAAATATACTTGAAAAAAATGAATGTATTTTTTTCTCCAAAGAACAGCATGTTTCACTCATTGCTGGAGAGGTGGAAACATTTGTGTAGCTTTATGTGCATCTGTCTTAAAATCTACTGACATTTTTAATATATATATACATGTATATGAGGAAAATGATTGCCAGTCAGGCTCCTTATGGGTTTTTCAGGAACGTAGGGGCCGTCCCCTGCTGCCTGCTTTGTGCCAACGAGCATGTTGCATCTACATACATTTTGAGTCTGGTCAGGCATTACTTTAGGTGTGTGGAAGGAGAAAGCAAGACTGTGGCTGAGTTTGCCCACCCAGCTCAAAGTGAAAGAGAACACTACTAATTTTCTAGTAAATTAGACCAGCATTGTTACTTAAACTAAAAATATCAGTCCTCAAAAATTTAATTTAGGACCTAAATTGTCTAGATCTACTTTCTACCTTTTTATTCAAATTATTCCTACAGTTGTGAATGAACTCCCCTTTACTTGGTGCCACAGTTGGTGATAAGGATTTGCCATTTCCCTCTAAAATGTAGGCACTCTTACCTTAGTTCTCTCTACCTTAAATGGAGGATAAGGAAATGAAATTATGATTGGTTTTCTAAAGATGATGTACTGTGTTGAGATACGTTGTGTTTTGTTTTGTTTTTTTTTTGCCAATTGACAGGTCTGATAAGCTTGTAATCATTTTCCCCTTCCATGTGACAATTTATGAGAACTGTGGAATATTTTAAGTAAGCTGTTGAAAGCTGAGAAAGCCCTTCTGAAACCTACAACTCTGCATTTGGACGCCTGACTTTCTCAGTCTACAGATAGATTATGCGTAGACATTCATGCATGCTGGGTGAATGGAAGGAAAGTAACTTAAAAATTGAGTTACACATGGAATTTCTCCATTTCAGAGATGATTCTATGATAGTGCCTCGGAAAGTTGATAACAGCGTTTTTGCCTTTCCAAACAATATTTTTCGTTACTGCTTTTTGCAGTACTTGTATCATCACAGATGGATTACCTGGGATAATTTCCCTCAAATTTCTCTATTTGTAGGAGAGGTATTTTCCTATGAGGAATATGACAAATATTATCTGGTTACTGTCTGGTGATGAAAATTACCTCATGTGTAATACACAGGTGGTAGCCAGGGAATCTTCAAGTTGGGAAAAGAAACTTTTCCTTTCAGTTGTTCCGTTTAAAATAAATTTTATTCTGGGTGTTCAAAGTCAGCGTTAGAGTTGTATTACGGTGTTCGGAGCTTAAGTTGTCTTGGATACAATATTTCTTTTGAAAATGAATTTTTCTTTTGTGATCTTTTAAATGTTGCAACGATTATGCTTCATGCATTGTTACATCTTCATCCTATTAATGTAATGTCTAGTTCATTTCCAATAAATACATTGCTGCAGTTTCCTTGGCTTATTGGTTTTACTTTTGTTCGTAGTAAAAGAGAAGAAGGTCTTGGCTAGAGTCCTTTATAAAATCTGCACGGGTTGGATTGTTGCTACTTAAAATTTGCACACTGATAATTCTTTGAATCAGAGACAACAAAGATAATTTTTAGAAACATTTATGAAAGTACATGGTCAGTCATTCAGTACTAATTTTCAACTTCTTTCCCAATGGAGCCTTTTGCTGATAAATGTAAAAAAAGACAACCACACTGACAGTACTGCATTCTACCCCGTTTGTTTTTTATGCCCCCTCATAGACAGCAAGAGGGAGTAAGAGGATAAGAAAATACAAAATTTTAAAATTGGGTTAGCTCCCAAATAAAAGGATTAAAGGCACTTATTGGTGGATATGATATGAATGTGTTTACATAAAAATATGTTTCAGAATATTTTCAAGCATGTTTGGATTTCAGTAAAAGGATACTGTATCTTCTTGCTAACTTTAGGACTAAATCTTTTAAGTATTTTGTACTATATGTAGTAGTTTGAAGAGCCAGTGTAGGCTTAGGTAGAATGGTCTCTTAATATCCATGTTAATTTACCCATTTTATCACCATTTCAGCATTTCCCACCCCACCTGGGCTGGATTACAAATAGGAAATCTGCCACCTGAATTATTTAGTCCTCTACCATGTTGCATCACTCTTACTCGCTTTGATATATTGAGAAAAGCACTGGGTTTAAGGTGAGATGTTTTAGATCTGAGTCTTGGTTCCACCCCTTTTATTCATTCACTCAACAAGTAATTTGTGTAAGCCAAGCTAGATGCTGAGTATTCAGAGGTGGAGAAGATACAGTCCTTGTCCACAATGAGCTTGTGGTCTAGTGGCAGGAGGTTAACCAGAAAAAAGGAGAGTTTATACTACAGCAGGTATGCAAAGTAATCCACTCATTACACTCAAGGTGACAGGAGGGCCTAGCAGCACTTTGGAGTAGGTGACAAATACTCAGAAGAGGTGGTGCTTGCCCTGAGCCTAGAATAGCCAGTAGAAGTTGAGCAGGTTTGTGTTTAAACAATAGATGAACGAGAGATGGTGTCTTTCTGAAATCAAAACTCATTCCTTAATCCCAAAGTACAGTTAGTGTTCCCATAGGGGAGTGGTGAGAGAAGAGGCTCCTGAAAAGCAAGGGCTTTTTCATGAAGGTCTTAGCAGACCTTGTGAAGGAGTTTGAACTCCACCTAGAGAGAAATGGGAGCCATTAAAGGCCAGTAACCTGGAGAGAGACATGCTCAGATTTGTTCCAAATCACTTAATACAACTGGAGAGAAACTAGGGACTGGGAGACTGCAGTTAGGTGAACGCCATCAAAATCTAGGCCAGGGCTTCCCTGGTGGCGCAGTGGTTGAGAGTCCGCCTGCCGATGCAGGGAACACGGGTTCGTGCCCCGGTCCGGGAAGATCCTACATGCCGCGGAGTGGCTGGGCCCGTGAGCCATGGTCTCTGAGCCTGCGCGTCCGGAGCCTGTGCTCCGCAATGGGAGAGGCCGCAACAGTAAGAGGCCTGCGTACCGCAAAAAAAAAAAAAAAAAAAAAAAAAAAATCTAGGCCAAAAAAATTAGTAAAAGCCTGGTCTATAGCAGTGGCCTTGGGGAAGCAAGTCAGCCTGGATTGCTCTCTCTCTGATATAATTGGTCACCGAAACCCGCTAGTTTTGTCTGCTAAATATTTGTCCATAGCCCCCTGAAACTGAGGGTGGTTATCAGATCCCTTAAACTACAACTTGCCTAATGAGTAATGAACTTAACCAGCCTACACTGATCAAGCTCAATTTAATTGTTTTTACAAAAACTCGCACGTCCTCCAAGCCTCACGTAGCCTAAACAATAAGACGTTTGCCCAAGCTGTTCTTCAGGAACCTGGATTCAGCTGTGTCCAGTTAGAGCTCGGGGCTGTTTAAGACTGGGTGGGGCCAATGATCCTCCAACTGAGCATGTGCGAGTGCCGGATGGGTGGAGTCTTGAGGTCAGAAGGCACCAAACTCCACCCTCAGAGCGTGCGTCCCGTGTTCAGAAGCGCGGGCAGCTTTGCTGCGCCTGCTCAGAATGACGATTACCGCAGCTTTTCCTTCTCTCCAATCAGCTTTCCATGCTCCCCAGGCCTCAGCTTTATCCCTGAATACCCCAAGCGCCTCACTTTCTGGGAAGCGAATTTGAGGTTTGTTCTCCAGTCTCCTCGCTTGGCTGTCTCGCGGATAAACCCCTTCTCTGCTGCAAACCTCGGCATCTCAGCGTTCGGTTCGCTGCGCATCTGGCAGAAGAACGTGGTCCTGTAATATCCCCATCGCTTTTGCAGGTACCTTGTTCATGTCCTTGCTCTGGTGGGTTAAACTGAGACCAACCCCATTTCTAGGGGCTCTCAAGTCACAGACATTGAGCTACTTGGTGTTTGTTTTGATGAGTGAGAAACGCAAGCAGAATGTCTCAAATAGAGGAGAAGGATCTAGGATAGAGAGGGAATCAGCTGGAAGCATAGGGAAAAAGCAACAGAAGAGATGTTGAGTGGGAGTTTTTGGAGTGAAGCGTTGGTGACTCTAGTAACCTGGTCTCCCTCCAGTCTACCCACGACATGCAGTACTGTGTCAATTTCCTGGGGTTCCACCTGATGGAACCACATTTGCTTCACTACAAACCTTACTTCAAGGTGAGTGCAGCACCAGAGGGCCTGGCAAAGGGTGCCTGCCCAGATATGGGTTGTCATCGCTTACCCGGACTGCGCTCACCTCAGGCAGAGGGACCTTCCTAAAACATGAATCTCACCAAGTTTATCCTCAGTTTAAAACCCTTCGAGGGCTCGTCTTTCTTCCCAGGATCATCTAATCTTTGAGACGACCCACTTGGCCTTTCGTATGTCCCAGGTAGCCTGTCCAGCTTGATCTCCTGCCTCGTGCTCTGCTCAGGTCAAATGGTTAAGCTCCGTTTCCGTTCCTGAACTTGCCATCTTTCTGCTTCGCCCCGGCTGCTTCTTGCCCTGGGGGGTCTGGGAGTGCTCCTTCCTTCCTGCACTCCGTCTGGCTCACTCCTTCAGGTCACGCTTAGGTCTGTGTTGGGGGGTGAACTGACCGCCCGCCCTGTAGCCAGGGTGTACTATCATAGCGTGGGCCACCCCGGGGGTACTACTGACCTTCACAGAGAGCTCAGGCCCCCCTAGAGGGGATTATGCATATTAAAAAACTAACGTCATCATTACTCTGTCATAAGAAAAATGTTAACGGATTTTAGGTAAATTGAGAGGTAGGTGTAATTTTATTCAGCATTTTATGTTTCTTGGTGGCCTACTATTGAGGGGGGTACTTTGCTAGATGTTGAGACCTCAAAAATGTCTCTCTCCTAGCTTAAGTTCTTACCTGATAAATTCATAGTTCTTATGAGAAAAAAAAAATCAGAATGTACTGAGTGATACTTCGTAAATTGTGAAAAGACTCTGGTGCTTTACCTTTTATCATAATAAATATGTGCTATATGCTATATATAATTTATAACATATGTAGTATATTATTCTCTACCTTATTTTTAAAATTTTAATTTTATATTGGAGTATAGTTGATTTACAATGTTGTGTTAGTTTCAGGTGTACAACAAAGTGATCCAGTTATACATATACATATATCCATTCTTTTTCAGATTCTTTTCCCATTTAGGTTATTACAGAATATTGAGTAGAGTTCCCTATGCTGTACACTAGCCCTTGTTGTTTATCTCCTTTACCTTAAATATAACAATACACGCTACAAATATAATAGGGCGCTCACACTGCCTAATTCAGGAACACAGTTTTCAAGGCTAGAATGTGGAAGGTGCTCCCTGGAGCTGTGTAATATAGCAGTTGATAAAGTATATTACATATGAAACATTACACATATACATATAATACTGAAAACTGAGACCCTGTATCCCACACAGCTTATGGGCTACATTAACATGATTTTACTATTGCATTGTTTTCACGGGCATAATTTTACTGTTCCGGGAGACTCTTATCCAGACAAATAAATTTGTTGTTCGTTATAGGAACTTCCGCAGAGACCCTTAAACATTTCAATAGGCAGTTTATACCCCAAGACTCTTTGAACCCCTGACCTCAAAATTCTCACCTTGCTCTTTCACCAATCTTAAACTATTATATCCTGATCTTTATCCAGTCTTAATCAAGCTCCACATTGAAATACTTACCTTAAACTTTGCTCCTGAGTTACAAACACTGCTCTATAGAGTTGGTGTTCTCTCTTACCGTGATAATAAACTCAGCTGTATTTTATCAACGGGTTGTGTTGTGGTATTTAGGAGCTGCTGGGCATTCAATAATATTATCTGTTCTATACACAGATACTCCATGAGACACGTGCTGTTATTTTCTCTTTTTCCTTCTTACTTTATCTCATGCTTCATTTCTGTTTTCTTACCCTGGTCCCCTTTTCCCCAAGCCGTGTTTTATCTCATATTGCTCGGTAATTCCCATCAACATTTCATACCATAACTGGTGGCTCCTAAGAATAGGGTAAGTGTTGACTTTCCTAGATACCAACAATATAAAGCAGAAAAAAATTGTTTTGAACTAAATATTTTATTGACTATAAATAGTCTATAAATGTCTATAAATGTCTATAACTGTCAATACCCGGGCATTCAGAGGAGGTATCCCCTGAAACCTCATATAAAGGAAACATGAGATTCTTTAAAGTAAAATCAGCAATCTTTGCTCTCATCTGTAAGGTTATTTTAGGCAGAATAGCACCTGGATCTGAGAGCTTCAGCTGTGATCTAATTGAATATATTTGCATAGCGGAAGAATGACTAGGTTAATCAGAAGAGGATTGATTGGTCTTGGGAACACGGAAGAAAGAAAACCAGGCAGGTTTTGGCAGTCCAGTGGAGGGAACCTTAGCCAAGAACCCTGGCAAGGCTGTCTTCATTGATAAAATGGACACAGCAAGTCCTGGCCTCCACAAATCCAAGTGTTTT